GCCTCACCCACTTAGGCCAGTGGCCAGGTCGCACTAAACATCGATCCTACTAGTAAAGCGAGAGTACAATACCTACGGCTGCTGGGGGATGTTCTTTTTAGTGATGGCGTAAAGAGAATTTGAGGTTAAAAACCATACCACAGCAGTGAAACCAGGCTACTGTGTCTTGAAAACCCAATTATCCACAATGTGTTTCAGTCATCACAGATAAGCAAATTGATCGTTGATGGCGGAAAAGCTAAAGTTTGGTTGAATCGAAAAATTTAGTTGATCCCTAAAACACATATCAACTGCTGAGGGACTGGACGTAGGTGATTCATTAATCAATTTTACGGTGGAATAGGCAGGCAGATCTGCTTCCAGTAATAGAAAGGCTATGAGAAACCTACTGGACAGGGAAACAAGGGATATTTTGCCAGGAACAGATTTTTGCAAGGAGTTCAACATGAACCCAAGAAGGAGAAAACGTGCTCCGCCTACTAAGTGACAGTTTGAGAATGGTGAACAGAATGCTGGAACCAGAATGCCCCATCCATGCACTGTACCAAAACCATGCATTCTCATTGTCCCATCAAATCCTTCTATAGACAGTCTTATAAATGGTAGTTGGCGACCGACTGCTAGTTTTGATTTGGCCCACTCAGATGACAGACAGTTGTGCGTATGTGATAATCGCGCATACTTCGCACAGACTGGCTTCCGCTGGGGTGATGAAAGGAGAGAATCTAGGTCCGTTGGTATTGCTGATCTTTGAAACGATCTCCCAAACAACTCAAGCTCTCCACCATTTTTGTGCTCAGACTATGTAGGCCGTGGAGAGCTATGAGCAACATCGATTATTCCAATGAACTGCAGGGAGATGTGAGAATTTCAGGGAATCGGGATGTGGAAAATAAACTGACATTCAACATGTAGTTTCGAGTGATGTTTATCTACATACCAGGAGAGCGAAGGTGTGCAAAGCGCTTCCGTGAAATTGGCCTTCCTCATGATGATTCATTACACTGCATTGCTACTCTTGGCAGGGAGATTAGACGCATTTGATAACTATGCGGGAGACATATTTAGAACCATTAAAACGGCCTATTTCATGTCTGTAGTTCACTGCGTCACTAAGCCACCACTTCTCTAGAGTGTTCTTCGACCTATACCGAGGACTGCCAGCTGGAATGACGTTGCAAGTATCAACAATGCCACTGCGCAGGTACAAAACATACCTTCCCTTCAAAATAAAAAATCCATTCAGCAAAGCTGAAGAATTCCAGGAGATAGGATTTGCTGAAACCCATTAGAGATCCAGAACTGTTCTGAAACAATAGGAGGCTAGCATCAAAAAGGTCCAAAGTTTTATACAAGCTGGTGTAACAGATATTAGATGTTGCAGTGTACGCCCCTAGACCTTCTGACGATTTGAGACTTACATATTTTGATTTTAACTAAGGATGCGAACATCTAGTAAACAGTACGCAGGAAGGATTCTCTAAACGCCATTAAATTTAGAAACGGACTTCACAAAAATCAATCATTAACCATGAACTTCAACATATGAACATGAAGTTCCATTTCCCCTGATGAATTTCGATACGGAAAGGAAGATCAAATTTTCGGATAATCAAAAATTACGTCATTCTTCTTCACAGATTCTCACCAGCTGCAAACTACCTGAGATTATAATGTTTGCGAAAAATGATGATAACATACTTCAATGTTTGAATGATAGTAGAGAACATATCATTAAAAGGAAGTATCGGAAATGTAAACACTATAACTTCTAGTGAACCTGTGAAATAGAATGATATCATTTTATACTGCAAATCTGATCTTTCTTTCTCCATCGAAATTTATCAAGGGAACCAAATGCACGAAATTTCTATTTTAATTTACCACCAATTTACGTGCTTTCAAAGTAGAAAAGAAGGGGTGAGGTGAGGAAATTGTAATAAACACTGATACCCTATGATCTCAGTCAGCAACTCAAAAGGACTATGGTTCATAAGATCGAGGCCTTCTCAGCGAGATGGAATCACTAATATGGGTGACTATTCAGTGAAGTGAAGAGGCAGTTACCTAGGGAGTGAGAGATAGATTACACTCTCTTTCTGTGTAGTTTTAGTTTGAAACTTTCGATTGCAACTGTTTCAGCACATAGTGGCCAGTTCGCTATCCTTCGAAGGATTTGAATATCTGGACGAAATCAACCGTGTTCATAAGGTGTCTGGTAATTGTGCTTTGTGCATATCTACATTCCTTTAATCATAAGTTTCCTGAGATATGCTTTGAAAACCTGATAAAAGCTCTATTTTCAATACTTCCAATGAAGTCGCTCCTGCAAGTGCATACAACTTTGTAACTTGTTTAGGGTATCAGCGATTCAAGTTTAGATTGGCTTACAGAGCACGTGGTGCACATAGTGTTACGAGCTTAGGTTCAGGGGAGCATCTTCTTAATGTGCTTTGTATTCTCCTGTCAGTAGTATGTGATACTGATTCTCCTATCGTGCTAACACCTTTTGTAACAAATTCCCTAATTGTTTCAGCCATAGGATACATTAGTTGTTTAACTAAGCTAAACGAAATGCACAACATTCGTCCGAAACTTTCACACTTACAATTTTACCAAAATTTGGTATATTTCACTCATGTAATGTGGTTGGTTATTGTTTGCGTTTAATTCTTTGTGTTGTGTGTTCGGCAGAAGTTTCTTCGATTTTCAAAAGTTTCTTACGAGGTTTATTAGGTATGAGCTTCCAGTTTCTCTTCACCCAACCCAAGCTTTCAATAATTCTAAACTAATTATAAACTGTACATTGATAATGCCTTTTTATGGTTAATGAGTATTTTATATAACTGAAATGAACTCAATGTGTGCTGAAATAACGCTGATCGTTCTTATAAAGAGTACTGAACGCTTAATTAATTCGACAAAACCATAAAAGCAAGATTTGCAGCTGTAATAGTGAATTTAGTACTAAAATAAAGCTAACAAAATCGTCACTATAAGCTGAACTAATTCTTTTTGTTCTGAAGTAATGCCATTTGGTGCTGAATCTAGACTGAGCGGGCTGAAAAATCTCTGATTAACGAACCTAGTAGGTTCTGATCTAGTTCTGAAAGTGCCTAGAAAAAGCACAGGGTACCAAATTAGTAATACGCATAATGAAAACCAACATTGATTTCTAGTCTGCATGCATAAACAAACAATTACAGGATAATTTCAGGGTTCACTCATTATCAAATGTTCGATATCTAACTCGAGTTAGTTCTGAATTAGCGGGATTTAATTCAGCATTATAGTAAGTCTAGGAGTTCCGAGCATGTGTATTCATAAACATAAGTATATTTGTCTTATTCACATCAAGTGAAATGTCTAATAATTGCAGCCTCATCAATTGGTTATGCAGCCTCCTGGATGGTTGGATTACTGAGAATTTCCAAATTGATGAGAATCTCTCTTAGGTTATTCCGAGTTGCCGGACATTTTCAAACTCTCATTTTCCTATGTAACTCCTGGATATCTTTAACCCGACGAATAAATGTTTTTAACCATGCAGTGTCCTCTCCTATTCCACTTTTATTTTCTTAGCAGTAGTGTTCAAATGATATAAAATCAGCTTTCAGCAAACATAATGCAGTTATTTAACTGCATTTTAGTCCTAGCGATTTAGAGAAAATAATGGAACGAGAACATGTATGCTGATAAAGGTCTACCATTTCACCAACAATAATTTCGTGATGAGAATGGAACACAATTTCGCCTTTAGCTTTGATTTGTCGTATAAAACATCGTCAATAATTGTGGCCTACCGGACACTGATGCCCTGTATTAAAATTAAAATCCTCTACAACATAAGTATAAAGATGATTATCAGAAGTTCTTTCGTTCAAATTTTGCTTCTAGCATAGAGGGCACTGAAATAAAACTAAGTCAAGCATTAAATACTTTAACAAATTCTTGGTCGTCCCATATCTTGGTGATTTCCGTGAAAGTGTTTCGTGTGACCCTCTACGTTAAGGAGTTAATGTAGTCAAGTCTCACGCAATTCTTAATTTCACAGCCTGTTAACTCTTCTTCTTTATTGCACCCCGCGTAGTCTTTCCTGAGCTACTCAGAAGCGTCTGCGTCATATTGCGAAGAGTATTAAAAGTTGTCACTGGGACAACTGACGTGCCATTACGTCAGTTCATTATCACTGTAGTCGACAGACACCTTAACTCATGCATCATATGGGCTAAATCCATATTGTTTGACTTTAAGCACCCTCTTTACTTATAACCCGCCGCTTGCATTCCATCAGGTAGGACTATGAGTCACTATAAAATATTATATGCTGGCACAGCTAAGTACAAAACTCAGTGATGCCATATCTGGCTCACGTTCTGTGTAATACAGAAAGCGTTAAGTGTGAAACTTATAAGTTATTATGTAATTAGCAAAATAAATGGCCCTTTGATTTTCCCCTATTAGAAGTATACACCGACAGCATTTCTGTTATTCTATGATTTTTTTGTCACTATTATTATTATCATTTTATATTTTTGTACACTTTTGATTTTATTGTTACTGTTGATGCCATAAAGTTGGTATGAAGAATTTTGTTTATCTATGTGATGAGAGCTGTCAACTAGCCAAATTGGTAGACAGTAATTTACGTCAATATTTACGTTCCCAAGATTTGTCGCGAGAAACAACCAATCGGAAGACTGTGTTTGTTTACTTAAATATCCATAGTAATGTACATGAAAATATATAAATATGCGTTGATTCCCTTAATAAATGATCTGTTGCCTGACTCTTGCCTTCTGTCGTTACACCTATACCATGTAATGTTGTTTGAGTAATTCATATGCAATACTGCCACAAATGCCGAGAATTCCATGCTCTATCGAAAGTACTGTTTTGGTGTAAAGTAAATCATTATTGTTATTATCCAAAAGTATTCCCAAGCTATAAATATCCAAACCAAGTCTGACGAATTTAGACATCATGTGCATGATACTCATTATTATAAAAGTTTTTGTATTTTTCAGTGAATTAAAGGACAAAACGATTTTGTTTTTCTAACTTTCCGTTATTCACTGCTAATGGCTTTACCAAATCGATGTCAAACCACAAATCATTTTATCGCAGCCTAGATGCAGTGATTTCATTATAGCTGTTCAACGTGAGGCAGTTCTCACACTGTCAAGTGAGTGAATTAGTAAAGATAAAAACCATATGCAGATAGTTATACATAGTTTGTCAAATTCGCCTATTCATAAACTTGACAGCGTAAAAATTATTTCAGATCGAAGAGCTATGATTAAGTTACTGTGCCTATACTGCGATTTTATTGATCGTAGTTTATTGTTACTTCAATAAAGCTACGAGCATTAATTGAAAAAAAGTCAGTAGAAACTATAGTGTTTTTTCTTTCTTTGGGGGATACAAAACTATTACGCTAAGAAATACAAGTAGGCTCTTTGTAATAGCAGTTAGATCTCCAGAGACTTTTCTAACGTGAGTTTCAAAATTATTGTATTTGCTTTTATTCAGCCATAGACGAACCTATAGGCAATATATAATGTAAAACAACTCTAACACCAACCTATTCGCCTTCTACTTCTAATGAATCTAGCAGAGTTTTTGGAGAAGTGAAGATGTTGTATATGAGTATTTAAATATTTATATTTTGAAATATTTCCACAAATTTACACTGCGCCTCACTAACAAGCTGATAGTCACCTGTAAAAATCCTAGATAATCAGTAAGGATTAACTAGATTCATGTTTCAACTTCAGACAAGAATAATAACCGTGATTTCCATCGATTTGTGGATTAATGTGTACGTTTTCAATAAACTTTCTTTGCTCACTCTCCAGAATTTATTTGTGTTATCCTTACTGCAAAAAAGAGATCACCTGATAGTTAAGAGAACTTCAGAATTTCATACATTTACTAGTAAGTGGATATTAATCACACATGGGCACAACATATTCCAAAATAACTGAGGATTTGAGATTGTAGGTTGAAGTATTACTTAGTTGTACAGAAGTGGGCGGTAAAATCGGAAAAGCGTAAATAAATATTATTACAATTCGCATTATTTAATGTGAGGAGGGCTGCTTAGCTAAGAATGTTGGTCAAACTCTGCCGCCGGGCTACAACTTCTTTAAACAGTGTTGCATTCTTCTTAGGTTATAAAAATGAAAACCAGCCGGTTCGAAGCTCTTTACTTAGCTTTTGTGCATGGCGAGTTATTACCAAGCTTTCTAGAAGGTTTAAGTTTTTTGTTGAAATTCATCAATACACAACTTCATGTTTGCATCTCAGATTTCTTCCCAATAATATTAAAGTGCACATTTTTAAATTAACATACAAGTGGAGAAAGTTTTTGTAAACGTAGTTATTTAACAAATTTTTGCTGTCCACGTTGATGTTAACTTTGAGATCCTTTTGTTTTGAGTTTTTCAGTTATCATCATAACATTATGTAATCTAAACATATGATTTCTCAGGTATGATATAGTGTTCATTTTGTTGAAAATATTATAACAAGTATTAATAAATTTTACTTTTTAAGAGATTTGTTTGTTTTTATTGTAGGTAAATTATATTTTCTCGTGTGAAAATATAATTTCGACTACAAGTCACTTTCGACTACTTTAAACCTTTTCAAGATTTCATTATTACAGAAAAATATTAACAAGGACTTATGCATGTAGAAAGATTAAGACCCCAAGTTTTTCGTGACTCCTACAATGTTGGGACCTCCTATGATGGACTAAGCCCTGGAAGTTCATCTGATTACGATCGTAGTCTAGCAACTTCACGTGTGTATGAAAGAACACGGATATATACTTTAGCAGGTAAGTGAAATTCTTTATGCTATTAATCTTATCCTTAAAGTGGAAAGACAAACAGTTCAAAAGAAGACATTTACAAAATGGGCGAATACATTTTTAAGGAGAGTGGGACTTGAAATATACGATCTTTTCTTGGATCTACGTGATGGAAAAATCTTACTACAGCTTCTGGAAATTCTGTCTGGGATTAAAATGGTATATTATAAATTTAATTCTTGATTATTTCATTCTTCATCTCCATTTTAATTGTAGCCTAGTCCAACTTTGGGAAGGATGAGGATACATTGTCTGGAAAATATTGACAAGTCACTTTACTTCCTAAGTAATTATGGTGTGCATCTTGAAAATATTGGTGCACATGACATTGTTGACGGAAATGCCAGAATAACTCTCGGTCTAATATGGATTATTATTCTTCGTTTTCAAATTCAAGACATAACATTTGTTGAGAAAATAGATCCACTGGGGATCCAAAGTGATGTTCGGAGGTATTCAAAAGATGCGTTGTTATTATGGTGCCAGTTGAAAACTTCAGGTTATCGGAATGTGGATGTACAAAACTTCACAACTAGCTGGCGTGATGGATTAGCATTCAATGCTCTTATTCACAGACATCGCCCTGACCTGGTGAATTTTGATGAACTATCAGTGAATACACCACTACAGAATCTGGAATCAGCATTTTTAGTTGCTGAAAAGAAATTGGGTATAGCGAGACTGTTTGATCCTGAAGATATTTATGTCCAGCAACCAGATGAAAAGTCAATTGTTACATATGTGGTTACATACTATCACTATTTTTCAAAACTGAAGTCGGAAACTGTTCAAGCGCGTCGTTTAGAAAAGTTCATAAGCTATTGGCGTGATCTCCAGAATTCTTTTAATTGGTACGAGAGACGAACATCAGATCTTTTGGAGTGGATAGCCAAGACAGTTTTGTGGCTGAATGATCGCCATTTACCCAATCAAGTTGAGGAGATTCAACAGGCTATGGTCGAGTTTAAAGAATACCGTCTTCATGAGAAATCTGACAAATTCAAAGAAAAAGGTGAACTTGAAGCTCATTTTCTTTTAACAAGAATGAAAATGAGAACACTGGGCCTAAGAAATTATATCCCGTCTACAGAAGCACAACTATCTCAGATTAATCGAGCCTGGATTGCATTAGAGAAGGCAGAATATTCACGTGAGGTAGCTCTAAGAGAAGAACTTGCTAAACAGAAACGCTTACTGCATTTGTTCTCACGTTTTGAGAAAAAGGCCAATCTACGTAAAGCTTGGATTAGTGATAATTACAAATTAGTTGAAGTTTGTGATGATGACAGAAATTTTGCAATGACTGAAGCTTCACTAAAAAAGTACGAAGCCTTAAAAGCCGATATTAATGCATATTCTGACAGGATACAAACAATACAACAAATTGCTGATGAACTGATCAGAAGTAACTTTTTTAAACACGATACAGTAACAAGAGTTAAAAAAGAGATTCAACATATGTGGCATCAACTTTTAACTATAATGAATGAAAGGTATAAAATCCTTGAAAATAGAAAGAATTTATTTAAAAAGTTTTCAGAAGCTGACTATTTAATGGAATCTATACAAATACTCTTATCAAAATTACGTAGTGATGAATTTGATGATAATTTGGCAGTTGTTGAAGAACGCTTAAAACAGTATGAAATTATTGAGACAGATATACGTTCGATACACCGGAATATTTCAGTACTTTTCGAATTAGGATCTCAAATCGAATATTCTCCAGAGTTGTTTGGTTTTAAAACAAACAATGTTACAATGGATATTAAAAGACAGAATAGTATGTTAAAAAGTGCCTATACTGAACTTGTGCAACTTGCTGAATCTAAAAGACAGTCTATAGAATATTTTAGACTATATCATATTTTAATTCATGAATTAGAAGAACAATTGTCATCAATACAAGAACGTATATCTTATTTGAAAAAAAGTGAAGCATTTGTTGATAATGGAAATGTCAGTGTATTCTTTCGTCGTCATAAAGTAGCAGAGTCTGAATTGGAAGCACAAAGATCAGTTATAACTCAACTGTTTGAAAGAGCTTCTAATCTTATTGATGAAAAGTCACAAAATTATGAAAATTTAAGCGATAAAGTTGAAAAAGTTGAAAAAGCTTGGGAGAATCTTATAAATCTCATGGCTAAACGTAAGACCGATTTGTTGTTTATGAAAGATTTACAGTCTTTTATGTTAAGCTGTGATGATGCTGATTTATGGATATCTGAGAAATATGAACTCAGTTCAAGTGTAATGAACACTGCTATACAAACTGATAGTATTTATACAATAGAAAGACTAACAAAACAACATCAGGAAACTATTGTGAGTTTAAACAGTTTTCAAGATTCTATAGAACAACTAAGAATTCAAGGGGAAGAGTTGTTGGAATTTATTGACTGTTTAACAAGTGAGGCAGAAACTAGCATAAAATCTAAGGAAGAAATCAGAAATTCAGTAAAAAGCAGAATCCAGAAGCTTTCAGATTCATTTGCCACACTTACCAGTTCTGTTCGTCAGACACAATTACTTCTATTAGATGCTGTATCACTTCATCAATTGTTCCAGATGGCTTCATCAACATATAACTGGATTATTGAAAAAGAGATCTATATGCAACTCTTAATAATGGATGACCTTCAAGAAGAAGAAATATACAGGATAATAGAAGGTGATATCAATGCAAATCAAGGCTTAATTCAGAGACTAGAAATTGTGAAGAATAGATTTTCTGATTTGGAAGAACAGATGAGCACAGCAGCTGAGCAGGTAAGTAGACTTTTCTCTTATAACTTGTTACAGCCTCAGCAATCATTATTAATCCAAATTTATTGCTTTACTAAGAATTTTCAGTGCAATCTAAAATTCCAAGCATTCTAATACTGTGTGCTTACTAAACTTGTATTACATAGACTTATTCAGGAATACAGATTAAAATGCTTGATGATAAACTATAAAAACACTCATAAGACACGTTAGAAGGAAGACAGTTTTGACACTTAATCTAACAGCACAGATTATTAAAGTACTTTATAACCCCATAAATATCTAGTAAGTTACTTAGGGTAAAAACTTTCATTTTTGAGATCATGTTAACTTAGAGAATATGATTCATATCTTTAGTTACCCATTTGCTAAAATAATTTTGATAGCTACCTACTGATCTATCATTTAGCTCAGACACTGCTGACTGCCAGGGGTTTCATGCTTGTTGCCACTCATGATTAAGGCGTATCTTCAGCCTTTAGGGAATTCGTATTCATTCTAAGATGTGAACCCTCATCACACAGTGTTGCAGTCAGGGACTTCACCATTGGGCTATTCAGGCTCACAACCGACTTCTTGTAGGACTGTACCGGATACTGTGATTGGACACTAGTTAGTAACTAGTATCATTGCAAACTTGACTGATAGAATTCAGCCTGCACCAAAAAAAGGACTACACACATGACACCAGTTAACTAGTGTCCAGGCAAATTCTGACACAGTTCTACAGGAGGTCCGTCGTGATTCCGAATAGCCCAGTGATAACGTCTCTGACTACAGCACTGAATGATATGGGTTCGAATCCCAGAAAGGACATAAGTTCCTTCTGGACTGCAGGTACACCTTGCTGGCGAGTGTCGACAAGCACAAAACCTAGTTTGATGGCTTCCTGCTGATAGCCTCCAATATATATATATATATATACATATATATATGTATATAGTATTTGAGGACCCAAGAAACAATAAAAGTAAGATCAAGGTATCCTGCTATACTGGTCGTTGTTGCTTCGTCTAAGTTTTTCAGTGTGAAGAACTGTTTGATACATATATGTATACATTCAAATTACAATATTTAAACTCTCACTTCACGCTTTTATCTGTATTTGTATTTAGGTATCTCACATAAACAATATGATCACAAATTTTCTAAATGAACCTAAAAGAGATGACCAGGCATTAGTTAATAAAGAAATAACAATTGAAAAAGTTATCAATCTTCAAGATCATTTAAATTCTGCATGGAATAGAATTGCGGATGCTGTAGAATCTCATAGAGATCGTATAATTGAAGAATCATTTTATATTAACTTATTTATTGAATGTAAATATACTTCTGAATGGATTACTGAGAAAGAAGCTGTCTTACTTTCAACAGATTCAATTGATGCTAACAGTTTATCGGGTTTAGTTGAATTAAGAAGGCGGTTATACAATATACAAGGAGATTTAAAAGCCATTGAAGCGCGTGTTGAAAATATCGGTGAACGTATAGGAGAAATACTTAGCATTCGAGAACAAGGAGAAGTTGCCTATGATCAGCAAGATACAAGGTTAAAATCTCGACGACGGGCAGATTATTTAATGGAGGAACACATGAAACTTACACAACACTGGCTTAATTTAAAAGATGCACTTCGAGAAAGAGTTAATAGAATATCAACTGAAGGTCAAGTGAGTCGATTCTTAGAAAAACTAGACTCTTTTCAAGATTGGATGAGAAAATTAAAAACTGATGTATTTGTTCGTGAATTTCCTAGTGATCTACAAGTGAGTTGAATCTTTAAAACACTGATTTGGAATTATTTTACGGAAAAAAACTTGTTTTACTAAAGTGGTTTTCATTTCCTTATACTCACATGTGTTAACTACTCAACTCCCTTCTAGTACCTGATATTAGACACTCATTGTCAGTGTAGTTCTCAGACACTAGCATATGAAAGTAACTTCCGGTAATAGTAGAGCACGGATAACTTCAGACTCTGAAGTACTGAATATAATGGAGATTATTAAATCAGTTAGCTGAAGATTTTCAATTTTTTAAAATAAAAAATGTTATTACAGTGAGCTTGATCTACTCTTAGACAGATATAAAACCAGGTAACTAATCTCAGGAGTTTTAATGAAAATTTAAACAGGATTATAATTAAAATTAAATTTCAATTGTTTATAGATACGATACTTTCTCAAATATCTACTTTTATTTCATTTTATACACAACCCAGTGATCATTATTTTTTATAAATCTCTTAATTTCCATAAACGAAAATTACAAAATATTCTTCAGGCTCTTCGACAGATTGAGCTCAACTGTTTACATAGGTCTCATGTGTCACGGAGTCATAGAATACAGCTGCATACATCTGAACACATTTGTTTGTTTAAAAAGAAACACCAATGAAATCTTTTACTTAAGAAGAAGTTAATTTAAGTAAAATCCTATTAGGCTTTAAATGCATTCTGGTTCCTTTCTGTATTAATACCACAGAACATTTAAACAAATTTCAAAAAAGTTGTAAATCTTACCATAGGGAACCTTTATGGTGGTTTTATAGACGGATTGTCATACAAAGTGATTTATGCACCAGCTGAAAAGACTTTGAGAAACAATAAAGTGCATGGCACTTCATGGTTGATTGTTATGTGTTAGTTAGATTACGTAGATTGAGAATTACGATATGTTGCTTAATGTGACAGTCCGACCCTTTACATTTTAACAGATCAGCATCTTTGTAATATACAGCAAGGACTTCCTGGTTAAAAAGAGAAGAAGAACATGACTAAACAAACCCCATATAGTTTCAGTTTGCTGTACACTACAGATAAACTGTGATGATGAGTGATACTGAACACAGAACATAATTTACAGGTGTTTATGGGTCACTTATGAATAGCTGATAGACGGATATTGTTATCGTAAGACCAAGTCTACCTATATTACCTGACTCTAAGTACAATCTCTTAATTTTCCACACATCGATTCCACCAAGAAGTGGTACAGTTGTCGTTACATACTTAGATTTTTCTCGAACAGCCACTTTTTAGTGGTTATTTTTCATCACCTTTCAACAGTATGGAAAGCAATACGGAAAAAGACATTAGACATTTATTGTTCGATGGATTATCTTGTTGGTATTAAAAGGCCAATCAGCTAATGAAAGTTGAAAAGGCGTTTTATGCATAAATCTCTTCTTCCACAACCATACCATGCCCAGTGCCGCTTCTTTGGTAGATGAATGACTCAGCGGAAGTATTATTTCTAAGCAATTACTTAAAGTAACACGTGTTATCCATAGTTTATTAGTCACACATAAAAATTACATTTGCATAAATCCCAGCGAAATAAAAATAAATAATTCCAAGTTGTCACTCGGCGAACTGGTCAAAATTACTACAGCAAAATAATCAAAATAAAAATTATACATCCTATGAAATCCAACGCATTCGGACAGATACATGGATTATAACTGGGAACATTCCTTTGCCTACAAAGTCACTGTCACTAGAAGCTTAACAGTTACCGGGAAGAAAGTAAATTAAAATTGATTCACTCTATCTTTGAATCAAATGATTAACCCAAAAACTTTGCTTAAAAATGTTTACTAAATGAGGTTAAGAATGAATCAAATCGTCTCACCAGGAAAAGTGTTAGTCCTGTGGTGATTACTTATCTCAAAAAAATGTCAGACTAAATAAGGGAAATCCTTAACAATCATGACACAAGAGTGTGTTTTTATGGCACGAACAACTTACGCTTGTCATCAATAAAAGAAGAAATTTTGACCAGTATGCCAAACAAAAATTTGGAGCTGTTTATTTCAATTTTGCTGAGATTTATACAAATACAATTTATTTCAAATTTACCACTCAATGTTCAAAGTCCATAGAAATATTGAGTCAGTTGTTGGTCAGAGTTCATATCAAGAAAGCGTATCAACTTCAGAAATATGTCACAGAGAAGATTTATGGCCTATAGTTACGGAAATTGTTTGACATTCTCCAACCTCTCGTTTCATCACCGAACTATGTGATACCTTCAGCACTAATCCCATCAACGTTTCCTAATGCGAAAAATATTTGTGACAGTTAAATTATTCATTTTTCACATAAAAACTGAACGCCACGTATTGGAAATCCTAATTGTGAATCTTTGGTTTAAGATTTCCCTGCCTGATTATTTTGACTATTTACAGCCGTGCCCAAACATTATAATGAATGCTGATTCGCACCTTAATGTGCTAACTGACCAGAACAACAGAGTCAGTCATTTTTCTCAGTTTTATTCTGTGCAGCTGATGTTATAATAGGCTGTAGAGACACACTGACACTTCAGTTAAAGGGAAGTACAGTTCACGAGAGCTCTCTGCATTAAATTCTGTAGCTGGAAAACAATTTTGAAATTTTATCTCAGCATTAACTGCAATCTCGAAGTTTTATGTTGAATAATAAATAATATGCCAGTGAAATGGTTAAACTAATACTGTCGGTAAAAAATAGTATTCCAAAGCCTGAGATTATAAAATCTTAGTTATTGAATTGAGGTATATTACTCCGACCGTTAACTTTTTTGTGAGAATTAAGCAGACATCTCACTTGATGAAATACAAAAGCCTGGTTAGACAGTCTACTGCATTTCTGTTCCCTAGCACGCTTAGTTTAGTAAATAGTTATGAAATAAAATGAAGTGAAGTGTGAAATAATTAATTAGTAGTCAAGTTTAACTTTATCATGGTTGAGTTACTCTGTGTGACAGTGTTTATTTGAAACGTGAATTACAATGGTCAAGTATAACATTTTATGTTATTTAAACGGTCACCAAAAATTTTTATATTTTAACCACTTTTCAGAATTCGTCAAAATTTTTCTAACAAAAAAATATGCCCCTGAAAAGAAAACTATAAGTTTATTACAGTGATTAAATTATATTTCTAAATGAATCTTTTCAGTATTTCTTGTTTTCAAACATGTTCACTGAAGTGACGTCTAGTTGATTTATGAAAATTATTTGAGAAAGACAAAAATGTGTAACATATTTTATTAGGGATTTTCTACTGAAGGATGTAGATGTTCAATTCTGTTATTCCAAGGTCGTTTGGCATATCACATAGTAGTACAGTATTTAATTTTCTGCATAGTCATCCAGTAAACAACACTGAGAACTACATCAAATAAACAGCCTAACATGAAATTACACTCTACAACAGTGCTCACATTTAACTCTTATTTATTCTTACTACTTCCCGAGTTTAGTTGTACTTCGGTAAGGAGTTGTGAAAAAGATATTAACACTTAAGCTGGAGAATCTGCTTAAAAATCCTTGTTGGAGGTCTAATAAAGTATCAGGACTTGCAGTAAATTTTTACCCACATAAATGACTACATCGCAAAGGTGAAAACTGTGTTAAAGTTGACGATTGCCAGGAAGACAAGGCAGATTCAGCTGAAAAACGCATCACAAACGTACTCAGAGATCTTCTAAAGGAGGAATTGACTGACAACAATAGTACCATGATTTGAAATTCCGAAGGTCTCGTTTTCCGCACATTTATGGCTTTCCAAAGGAACACAAAAACAAGTTCCACTGAGACCTATACTTTCGATGACCAACTCGTCTCAGCATAGGGTTGCTCTTTGGTTTGCGGAGAAGTTGGAACCCATTCGTCAACGTCTAGCCGTGTACACCATGAAAGACTCATTTCATTTCGCCTAAAATATGAACCACATGAACGTTTCAAATAAGTTCATGGTGTCATTCGGTGCAACCTACTTATTCAAAAGGATCCCAAGCAATCAAACTATTTGAGATCCTTTGTCAGCAGTCGGATCTCCTTCCAGAGTAGGAATTCAAACACCTACTGCTAATGTTTAACATGGATGTACAATTCCAGTTTGACAACACTCCTTAACGCCAAATAGGTGGTGCAGTGGTGGGCAGTCGACTTAGGCATGTTTTATAAGATATATTCATGTCCAACCTTGAGAAAACAAAGTTGAAGCATGCAGTTGACGAAACAACTTCCTGATATCGATATGTCGATAACACATTTGTAATGTACTACAATGAAAGTCATGCTTCCTACCTACTCGGATTATTCTACGACGCAAATACGAATATAGAGTTTACTATGGAACATGAAAATGATGGAAAGTTCCATTTCCTTGACATTGCCACGCAGCGCCTGGAAGATATTAGTCTACAGAGGTCAATTTACCAAAAGCTTACATGGAATGGACAATACTTACATTTTGATAGTTTTTGTCCAAATAGCTTTAAACAAGCACTAGTCAAGATTGTGTACTATAGAGCTAGAAGAATACTCTCTTGAGAGAAATTAGAGGAAGAATTTCTGATTCTCGAAAAGATGTTGAAAAACAGCGGTTACCCTCAGAAATTCATTAACAAATATGGAAAATGTGAAGGCTAAGTTGCCAAACAAACCAAAGTGGGAAAAATGCCTACCTTCATTCAAGTCGATTTTTAAGCGGAAAATATTGCAGCAATAGTCAACAGAAGATTGACGACGTCACTAGCCAGAGCCTATCCTGTAGCAAAGTTGGTTCTCATTAATCAGACAACATGATCTTAGGTTCAATCAAAGTCGACATATTTCCTTCTCATATCAACTCCAACTGTGTATGCAAATTTACGTGTATCTGTGGGAACATTTACATCGAGATAACAGAAAGAGGGGCAAACCTCCAACTTTCTGAACATGTATTGAGAAGCCTGCGTCTCAAGGGAACAAACGCTTACGTTTTTGCCACTACCAGACATCTCATTCATACGTATCATGAGTTGACAATCGCAAAATCCTTTAAAATTATAAATAGACGAAAATGCCCAATTATCTTCTCTAACAAACACCTGAAACTCGATTTATATGTTCAGAAAAAAGCAGTTATCAGTCTTCCCTTGTCCATCCTCGCAACTGAATGCCTTCATTTCCTCTTTCATTGGATCATGTAGTCTTTGGCTTTAACCTCACATTCACTCTTTGATACAGTGTAATTTTGCTTGTCTCACGTTTCTATGTTTAGTTGAACTCACACATTGTTACCTAATTTATTAGTCACTCATCATCTCACTGACCTCTCGTCTTTATGACGTTGTCCTTCACCATAGTATGCATACATTTACTTTGTGTTAACTAGAACGTGTGCAAAGTGTAATTTTCTGAGCACTGTTCACTAATTTTGGAAGCTTCTGTCAACTGACATCATGTAACATTTGCAAGTATGTTGAAACTTTTATATACACAAATTGTAATTTCTTTAGGCTGTATGGATCTGATGAGAGGCTGACGAAATAAATGATGGTACCATATTATTTTGCAAAAACTGTTGTTCTTGCTTTAATCAATTACATACATATCTTAGTTGACCGTATGCGGAGGGTGATTCTTCTTTCTTAGAAGTATAAAGGGTTGAGGATAAGTGAAAATTATCTGCCAAGAGAAGCTGTTGGATTTTGTTATTACCTAATGCAAAAGTAATTCTTAAGGTTCACTTTTATTTATATGGAGGAGGATACATTATTCAACAAATATAACTAATATATTGTCGGTAAAAATATTCACATAGTCTCGATAAGTAGACAGAAATGCAAAATACAAATGACTCTGAAATTATGATCAGTTCCCGCCTTCTTCTAGCCCTTTTATTGTGAAATCAAAGTATTCATATTGTTACTCGTTTGTAACTACATAAATCAGCTTTAATGATCGCCTTCTTGTCTTTCTTTTGTTTTTCACCTGTATCGTTTAAAAATCACTCTTGGACTCCTAAACCATTTGCTATTTTAAATTATGTTTATTAATTTCTACATCTTAGCATCTATTGTCATTCTCTGTATCCTTTCCACATTCATTTGAACACTATGCTCTTCTAGGGTTTCAGTTTCTCTATGTGCAATGCTGGGATGAATGACAGTCTAGATCAGTCCATAATTCTTAAAGCCCTCACTGGATTTCACATGTGCATCAAGTTTCTTAATAATTTATTCAGACGTAGGTAGCATCTTTTGTTTACAAAATAAAGAAAAATATTTAGGAATTGCAGAAAGAATAAAAACCTTTCCGTCTCTATAAGTCTACAAGATCAATTGTTTCAGCTTATTTCATCCTTGTTCATTGGTAAAGTAATTGATTTGTAGGCGTGATTCTCTTTATTACTTGTGATGACTAATTTGTGTTCTCTTGTGATACCGTTAAGTAAACAGTCTACGATAGTTTTAGTTTACTTTGAGTATGACGTTTGCCGTGGTTTACTTATAACCAGTCTATATAAACCTCTGACCACTAGTCAGTCTAGTGGATATTATATTTCTATATATAATAAGCTCGATATTTAGGTTTCGAATAATTTTAAAACCGTAATAAAACAATTAAAAGATCACTGAGAGTAAGAATACTTCACAAAACTGCAAATTTTATATTCAAGTAGTAGTCAACCTGTCTCTGAGATAGAAGTGAGGCAAACTTATTCTCAATAATTTAACTTTTATACACAATGTTGAATAATCTCAGTACTTATATTATATTTGTATTTTTCTTAAAAATTTAGGAGACTGAAAATCGTCTAACAATTATAGAGCAAAGTGTTCAAGAGATCAAAGATTATGAGAATGAAGCAAATCAACTATTTGAAACAGGCAGACAAATACTTAAGGGTTATTCTGATACACCACATATAATGTTAGGACAACGATTAGCTGGACTTGAAGAAGACTGGAGATCAATTCAAGCATCTATGGTCGATAGTACTACACGACTTCAAGAACGATATGCACTACAGGTGATTATTTGATTTATTTTAGGAAGCATTTCATTTCTATGTATTATTTAAATAAATGATTTTGATATTTACACTATTACTGTAAGTAAATAGATGGTAGATTCAACTTTCTGTTACATTAGGGATAACAAAAGTAAATTTCAAACATGGATAACTCGCTTATTTGAGGATATATATTTAAGTTAAGCTGTTTGTCAAAATTATTTTGAACTTTACGTCGTTTGATTTTAGTTAAACAGGAGGAAACTGAGACCCGTTGCATGAGAGGTTGCTGTCAGAGCTTACTAGACCAGTGGATAGTATTTTAACATTTGATATTATGGTTCCCGATCTGAGTTTCAGTGGGAGTAGCATTACTCTCTGGGGATGCAGGTACATTCAGTTGACTAATCTCAAACAGGACAAAATGTAATGCCTGGACTCCACTACTAGCATTACTAACCGAGAAACGAATGGTTCATTACATATGAACAAAGATTCCCCCAACATACTGGACGCATTTCATCAGTGGTTGGACTTAAAATGACACGAACTAGGTATCAGTCAAATCGTGAACGTATATTTTATGCTAAGATTTTGGGTTTTGTGCGGATTTTGATCAATTTCAGTTTAGAGTTCATCATTTCAGCACAACAACCATACTTTTCCTACTTAAGGATTGATGACTTGAAATTATGAAGAGAAGTTGCGACCGGTAAGGTCCACTATATTAGGTGCAAAGTGGACGCTTTTCTAAGATATTGACTGAAAATAGAGCTTTATCTCTGATTGACGAAAGTTAGAACTCATGATTCACTTTCTTTTAATCCAGTGAATGAATGGCCAATACGTCCACCATGTGACCTGAAGTCTGTGTGTTTGAACCTTGCTAGAGTGGTGGTTGTGCACTGCAGAAGACTTACAAAATAGGAGAAAACTGCTATGGAATGCTGTTTGGTTTGCAGTGATTCTCCCTGACTGATGTCGTTTTGAGACGGACTCTACCGCGAAACATATTTTATGGTTGTTTCCATGCTCTGTGATCAATGGTATGGGATATACCGTCAAACAAATTTGGAGAGGGTTTTTATCAGTTATCTTTGAGTAATGGTCACATAGGTCGTTGTAGTTCAGCAGTTCATCGACCAATCAGTCTACCATCCATTTTAAGAGCTCAAAAGTTAACAGTGCGGATGACACAATATGCCAAATGTTTTCATATTCAGAATGTGTAGTACAATAAAAGTAAAATTTATTGGTCAGTTAGTCGTAAGAAATAAAAAAAGAAACCAAATGGTTATATGTTAGATTTAACCAATTCTTGTAATACTTACTGATTAACGTGCCTTAGTTAAGCTCTTAAGTAATAGGAACTAATTTTTGATAGGCAAATAATCAATGAATTACTGTGTGTAAATAATATCCAGGTTAATATATTCCGCTTATTTATTGACGTTTAGAATATTTCAAGGCTTAGATATGTAACTTTTTTATTTTATTTTGCTGAAACGTGTATATTTCATTGAGCTCTTTGTCTCTCAATCCAATATAATGACAAAAGTTATGATTTCCTACACTCTTATGGAAATCTAAAGGGAAAATGAATGTCAAAATTCAGTTCGCGACAAATTTTTGAAGCGGCGTATATTCAACAAGATTTCAAGGGTTAACTAAAGTGGAAGTTTGAATGACCAAACCACCTTCTTTTCAATGCGTGTTGTGTCACCACTGAAGCATGCTTATATACTGATGGTGTTTCTTTAGCTCAAAAGCCATAGCAAAGAGTATTATGACATTTCATGATGAAAGGAGGCAGATGTGCTAATTATTTATAGTCAGTGTCATTAATGGACGAATGTTTCGTTTCGTCTAAGTATTTGTCATATAGTTGTTATTACTGTGAAGAAATTTCCATGAGATCACAAGTGGTTTTGATCTACTTTTAATTAGTTAATTGAGTGTTCATAATCGAGAGCTGTTTTTAAACAATTTATCTGTCAACCTTTCCATAAGTAAAATGATTTGTCGGTGGCACAGCGGTTAGGACACTCGCTAGCCATGCACATGGTCCAGGGTTCGATCCCCTGCCGACGTACACCTGATATCAATTGGTCGGCCTGCAAAATCTGGGCTACCGATATCACATGCTAAAAATTCCATACTTGTACATAAAATGCGCTGTGGAATCAAGCTATAATAATAAAATATGAAGGTCAAAACGAATATCACAAATCACCACCAATATACAGATGCCACACTCACTCCATGAGAAGTCAGATTTAACTAATCAAAGATAGATGTTTACTTCAGTGAATTCCATCCCAGTGTCTAAACGATGAACGAGCCTGCCTCGTAACCTGGGGTTGCTGGGTTTGATCCCCGATGGTTTCATGGATGCGTACTGAGGAAGAGTCCAGAACTAGGATAAAAAAGGTATTCAGTATTCCAATCTTGCGGCTTATGCAGTGTTCTGCCTGATAATAATTTATTCAGCATTTGTCTGATGAGCTGATTATGCGTTATTAAAATGTTTTTCTGTCGAATACTTAGAGATGACAGGTATTTCATTCACTATACTGTGATAGTGAGGGTGGAATTAAACCCTTGTCTTTAGTCCACTGATGTATCCACTTCAATTTAAATTGATTACCCAGTCAATCTGTTTACAAGACCTCAAAATAGTTATGTATTATATGAAATGAAAATTTCATATCGAAGTAAGAAATGGAGATGGTGTACAGAGGAAAAATGAAGGCTTCACAATTAACCACCTATCTCAGAGAATACCATCGTGCCATGCTTAGATCATCGACCCGACAAAGGTGACTAAGAAACATTCAAAATCGAAGAAGTATATGATTGGTGGCATTAGTCAACATGCGCTTCTGAAACAAGGATGGGTTATGAAACACCCACAAAATAAGATTTCCAAGAGAATTCAAAATTTGCTTAGTTGAATTTAGTGGCATCAGTGTTATACACCAAGTTTACTATACTGAAATTACTTCGTTTGAATACCTGATTATTTTAAATTTTTCATATTTTTTGATTTCTAGTGCTTTTTAGCCGAATCTGCACTGCTAGAAGTAACTTTGGATCAGCAGGCCACATTTTTAAATAAAGAGGATCCACTGGTAAGTCTGAATACAAACTGTTTGTTTGTTGATAATATGAATTTACGGGGTTATAAGTTTTCAAAAAGATCGAATGCTATTTAAGTCTAAGAATGTATCTTCCAGAGATTGTAGAATAAGCATCTGCACGCTGAACCGAAAAATATTCAGAGATTTTTAATAAGCATTTTATAACCATTAAAGGGTCTTCATCAATCATTTTTTATATACTCTTTGCATTCACTTAGAAATTTATTTATTCTTTGATATGAGAAGTTTCAGTGTAACTGTATATCTTTCAAATTCTCTCCTACAGTGTTGCCATACAAGGAGAGAATGTCCATACATCAAAACCACACACGAGAGTATGATACTGTTTAAAACTTTGATATCATTTCAAAAAAATATCTATCACTCAAAGGATTCGAGAGAACTTAGTGGGTGGTTTACGAGACCTGCGGAAGTCGTTAGTAGATTAAGTACATTATTATAAATGTTCTGGTCGAATCGACAAAGTTACTAACCCTGACAGTCATTTGATTCTAAGGCTATAGACACTAGTGAAGTGAAAAATCTAGGGAAAAACTTATCTGTAGTGAAGATTGCATTCATGCACTGTCACGAAGTAAGACCCAGTCACAGTTCTTATGAGTAGCTTAAGAGGATATAGAAACAGAGTGTTAAAAGAAGCATTGATTGGGGCCCTTTGGACGCTAAGAACCAACGGTTGAAGACTGTTGGCAGCATGGCTCAAATTCGTCCTGAGTGTCACAGATGTATTCGCTTGACGTCACCTTTCAGACCAATTAAATCTTTGTTATTCTTGGTATAGTAATTATTTTCACACATTCCCATTATTGTTTTTTTCTCTAGCTTTGTGAGTACTTGTCTGAATTATAGCAACTTAAACTGCTGCACTCTTGTGCATAGGTTTAAGTTGAAAATTTAGTTCTCTTTAGCACTTTAACACAAATTTAAAACAGGGAATGAACAAAAAATGAAAAAAGAAGCATTAAGATGTTCACAATGCTCCTGGAGTTCTGTAGTGGCGCCAAGCATACCCATTTGGTTTATGAATTCAAGTCCACCATCAAAAGTGGTTTTTTCCAATTCATGGTCTGCAATTAAGTGACCACGTTGATTTGATGATATTAGATGGTTGGAGGCTATCGGCAGGAAGCCTTGGAACTAGGTTTCGCACTAGTTGGCACTCGTCAGCAGGGTGTATCTGCAACCTTGAAGGAACTCATGCCCCTTCTGAGCACGTTTTATTTCATTTATCATCTTGCTCATATGATATTTCGTGATGTTGTAAGTTGGATTTTCATTTCTGCCTACTTCTCCCAATTCAAATCATCACCAAGCTTTTTCATTGATTATATATTCGTTCCACTCAAAACAAAGTAAATATTGTTTAGTCACTTCAGTTGTTGTTAGTGAATCCACTTTTACTATAATGAAATTTACTGTAGTGGTTCTAATTATAACCATAATATTTCCTTAACTAACATTTACGATTCTTTGTTTGTGCACTATTTTCAAACCCTTTTGTTTGCTTAACGACTGTTCTTTTAAGTTCATACATTTATTCACCTTTATGAATTATAATAAAGCGAAAACAACAGTTCTTGCAGAATAATATGGTACCATCATTTATTTCGTCAGCTTCTCATCAGCTCCATACAGCCTAAAGAAATTATCAATTTTGTGTATATAAAAGTTTCAACATACTTGCAAATGTTACATGATGTCAGTTGACAGCAGCTTCCAAAATTAGTGAACAGTGCTCAGAAAATTACACACATATAGTATTTGCACAGGGCGTTCAAGTTGACACAAAGTAAATGTATGCATACTATGGTGAAGGACAAACGTCATAAAGACGAGAGGTAAGCGAGATGATGAGTGACTAATAAATTAAGTAACAATGTTGTGAGTTCAAGTGAAAGCATAGAAACGAGATAGGTAAAATTACACTGTATCGAAGAGTGGGAGTGAGGTTAAAGCCAAAGATTACGTGATCCAATGAAAGAGGAAATAAAGGCGTGCAGTTGTGAGGATGGACAAGGGAAGACTGATAACTGTTTCTTTCTGAACATATAAATCGAGTTTCAGGCGAAACTCTATGTGTAAATACTATATAGGTGTAATTTTCTGAGCACTGTTCATTAATTTTGGAAGCTGCTGTCAACTGACATCATATAACATTTGCAAGTATGTTGAAACTTTTCTTTGTGTAAACTTGTTAATTTCTTTAGGCTGTATGGATCTGATGAGAGGCTGACGAAATAAATGATGGTACCATATTATTCTGCAAAAACTGTTGTTCTTGGTTTAGTCAGATGTTCTCTTAAGAATGACGCAATTCATTGACTGTCTTCTCAGTCATTAATAAAATTAACCAGGAACTCAATTTCACCTGTTAGATTTCATCACGAATTAACAGCATTTAGAGAGGTCATTGGAAACTATAATCTAAATAATAACTCACTCCTATCTATTTGACCTATTAATATTATTCATACTGTGTTAAGTAAGCATGCATTCCTTTATTGCATAACAGTATGCAGAATCATTTATGCAAGTAAATTTAATGCTAATTAGCCCGAATGAAACTTATGAATATAAATAATCCTTCTGTAATAACTTGTTTTCGTACGTCTTAAAGTGAAGACTTTTTCAGCAAATCAACAATGGAATTAGAAATGAAGCATTACAAAGTGTTCCAGATAACCATAAAATTTCAGTCCTTCGCCTAAAAGTAGTGAAAGCTGGTATTAGATGGTTTGGAGGCAATCAGAAGGAAGCCTTCTACCTAGGTTTTGTTGTAGTTGGCACTCACCAGTCTGCAGTGCATATCTACAACGTTGAAGGGACTCATGTCCCTTGTGGGATTCAAACCCGCGCCCCTCATTGCTGCCGTCACAGACTTTACAAATGAGCTTTTTGAGCCCGCAACAGACCTTCTGAACGACTGTATTGGACAGTTTTTGTCGGAAACTAGTCAGTAACTCGTATCTAGACACATTACACCAATTACTGACTAGTGTCCAGTCAAAAGAAGTGAAAGCATCGTATCATTAAACCAGACGATGTTATATATATGCATGGGGTTGTACCGCTTGAGGATGGCATTTCTGAAAAGAGCAACTTATCACTGAAGGTCTCTTCTTTGATATGACAGTGGGAATTCTTAAGCTGATAAAACAATGTCTGTTTTTAAATAATTAACTGATTTTTATGCAAATATTTTATCTAGTCTATTATATAACTATCATCAAATTTCTGTCCTTCCCTAATTTTATAGACCAATTTAGATGCTGTACGTGATGTACAAAAACAGTATGAAACTTTCCGTTTCTCTTTATTAACCTGTGAAGAACGAGTTAATGCAGCTTTAGAACTGGGAAGAAAAGTCGCTGAAAGAAATCCTGCAAATCGGGATCGTGCATTAGCCAAATGTGAATTATTTCAACAAAAGTAAGTCAATTAAATTTATTAGAATTATACCATTACTTCAGTGTTACAATGATTTCGAGCAGTTCACAAAAGAAAACATCGTATTAGGGTTTTGAATTATGAGAGAACAGGAAGCTCAGTGAAAACAACGTTTCTGCGATTTAATCCACAAAAAAGCAGTACAGTTAAGTTTTTTAAACATAAGTTGACAGTGTTACAAACATGATTTAATTCAACAAAGTCACGAAAGCGGATTAACGGAGATTATAATTTTTAACTTGATCTAAAAGTTTGAAGGTAAGACGGAAGAATAATATAGATCCCAAAAGATATAGTGACATAATTACATTGGCTTAGAAAAGCGGTTGTGCGCCATGTTTTCGTTAATTTGCTAAATTAAATCATAAATTTAACTATATGGAATTATTCATGAAAATGCAATTTTACAGCTCTTCTAAGGATGAAACCATCAAAAATGCCTTTTCTGAGCTACTTGTGCTTTATTTTCTATTTGATATCCTGATAAATGCAGGAATGACAAAAGAAGTCAAACGAAAGCTGGAAATAAAACATGGGGAACGTAGTATAAGACCTCACGTTACCAAATATATCCAACCCAAATAAACTCGAGTTCATGAAGTGCAAATGAGGTTATCCAATGTGTTGTAAATAAAACTGAACACTTATTTCTGATTCCTCAACTCATCCTATTTCGTTCTTATTAAATACATTCCAACAGACTTAGTGAATTGACTACACAATTGTGAATGTAAAAAGAAAACATTTCCATTTTTCTTGAATTTAATTGTCAGGTATAAAAGTACATGAACTTAACCTAGATCATGTGATCAGTGTCATCGTATTGATTGCTAAACGTATAATGGATTGTTTCTTAAACATATCAGTCTTTTAATCATACTGCAATTATTGTAGTTCATAGAAAGTTTTTGAGGAAAGTCATTTCAAATTCCTAAACAAGAAATTTAGTACATAATGTGTATTCACTTATGAAGATTATTTTATTACATAACAAGATTAAATCTTTGTGAAACTCAGATTGCTCCATGTATAGTGGATGTTTAGTTGTCAATGGTAATTACATTGCAATTTATATGGAAATAGACCTAAGTGCATGTAATATGAGATATTGGTAAAAATTAAATGCTACATTAGGAGGTTTTCGGCGGAGGCGTATTTTTTCTATCAATTTACAATTATACATATAATTCGAATCAAAGTAAAGATATTATTATGATTATAGTAATTCCAAGACAAGTAATCAAAGTGAAGAATAAAAATTACTAGCTTTCTAGTGATTTCCAAAAGCATAATTGTAATTCTGAATCCTTCTGAAGCACTAGGAATAAAATAAAGTATTATTATTATTTCCCTGGGTTACAAGTGGAACAGAGAGCTTCAATAGAACATCTCCATATCATTTTCTTCTCTGAGTTCTTCTTCAGCTGGCCCCTTAATTGCCCATAAACTCTCATCGCCTCTCCACATGACCTCCTTAATGTCACTTTCCAATGCCAAACTCGTCATTTCCATTTCGGGTCCCACTGCAGCGATGGTCTGCTGCTCGATCTCACTCAACGGTCTCCTCACCGTATGTCCTATCCATCTCCATTTTCCTCGGCTCATTTTTGGGCAGTGAGCTATTTCTTGGTCTGTTCCCAGATTTTCCTATTTCTAACTATTTCTAGTCACCTGATCTTCAGTATGGAGCCAGAGAAGGTAGCTGTTGATAAAAGTCTGCAGAGACCTGTTGAAAATGCTCTTCGTGACGCACAGTTTCTTACCAACATAGAAGAATTGACTAAAAACTGGTGTTGAAAATCAGGATCTTTTTGTTGATGCCGAGTGCAGAAGATTTCCAAACTGATTTCATACTGACGGTCTGTCTTACTTTCTCGATCCGGCCATTCACATCTTCATCCGTGCTGTCGCTTTTAGTTGAAACGATGCTGTCTAGACAGATATGTAAAAGAAGTGTCTTCCTTCAAGCTTATTCTGTTGATAATGCCTGGTGCTGGTTGTTGTCGGTTGGTTATTGTCATCATCTCTGTGCTTATCTGAATTCATGTCTTCACTACAAACCGCTGTTTACATGAAGAAACTAATGTAGCAATTCGATTTTTAAGAGAATTCTATCTTAGTATTAACTTAAAGTATTAACGAACCTGTGTGATTGTTGTTTTAAGAATACATTGTAAATCATAAGCTTAATCACCTTAATGATTTCTAAGATTCAGATGAACTAGATAGAAATTTCTGTGAACGATAATTCAGTGTAACTCCAAAGTCCTGTTGCTATGAGTTATGATCTCATAAGCTTGTGAAGATTATTCTTTTACAACATATTTGGACGATACTGGTTGATGTGAGTGGTATACAACTACTCATCTCAGTCAATCAGTAATATATAGTTTTATGCATTTATGCTTGGTTTCTTGAATATCATTTTTGGTATCGAGCAGATCACATTTTGTGATCTAAATAATTTTTGTGAAATTTCATCCCAAACTATGTAAATTGCAAGTTAGAATGCTAACTACGATTTTGACATGCATCAGTTAAACTGATATTACTTCACACTCGTATTTCATGATGTAGCACAATCCTCCATTCAGTATTCATTATCACACTTGTCATTATTTTCATACTACTGGTAAATACAATACAATTCACCTGATTTGGAGTACTCTGAATCATAATTTTCAATTTGATAAATTTAAATGGAGTTTCGATAATCATGCGAAATAGTATAAAAGCTAGTTATTAGCATGGAGTAGTTGAAATATTTTGTGGTTTGTTTTGACTTTCCTTAGAATAGGGATACTCCATCTTAAAGGGTATATTACTAGTGAATACTTCGAAGTGCATACAGGAGTAAGACAAGCTGGCTGCCTATTATGACCAACGATATTCTTAACTGTGGTGGACTAGATCATGCGTCAGACTGTGCGTGGGGAGCGAGGAGTCAGGAGTACGCTGTACCACCGATATGAAGACTCTATAAGATATGGATTTCACGTGTGGATGATTTATGTCCGATGTCACACAAATTCGAAAATTTCCAGGCGAAAACCAACAAACTGGCTGAAGAGGCTGACAGTGAAGACAAGACTCCAAATGAACATGGAGAAGACGGAGGTGATGAAGATAACCACGCACTAACAGCAACACCACAACAACAACCAGCACAAATCACTATCAACGGGAGAGATTTAACAGATGTTGACTCCTTCACCTATCTGGGAAGCATAGTTTCAACTGCAGGAGTTCGGAACGGACGAAGAAGTCCAAGTCAGAATCGAAAAGACGGGAAACGCCTTCATCAACCTGAAACCAGTTTGGAAATCTTCTTCACTCAGCCAGTGCCTAGAACAAGATTCACATTTTTAACACAAATGTGAAGTCGGGCAATCAGTCCTTTTGTACAGGTTAGAAACGTGGGGTGTCACGGATAGGATTTCCAACAAGCCACTTCAGACTTTCATCAACAGCTGCCCTAGCTCCATACTCAGGATCAGATGGCTGCCAAAAAACCAAACGAGAGCCGATTGCTCAATAAATATTTTGGTGAAAATGGAGATGGATCGGTTATACATTGAGGTAACCGTCGAATGACATCACGCGCAGTGCTGGCCATCAATCGAGTGGAATCCAAATAAGAAGAGAGGAGTGGATCGTCAGTGCGAGGGTGACATGCAGGAGATCGTTTGAGGAAAAGATGAGAGATTGCGGGCAATCATGGACCCAGCTGAAAAGGCCAGCAGAAAATAGAAGAAAGTGGAGATGTGTTGTTGAAGCCATATGTTTCACTCGGAACCCAGGGGAACAAAAATAATAATAATACTTCAAACACTTTTAAACTGTATATGTGATGAAATTGGTAATAATAGCTAAACAGAATATTGGTCTTTATTATTTTTTTATAAAAGGAAGTCTTTTATTTTACAACAAGATAATAATACTGAATATTAGCTAAAATGTTTTTAGTAGATAAATTTCCTATCACACAATTCACCTGTCTTTATTCCCAGTCATCAGATTTACTTAGAAGTTGACTACTCCATTATCATCATTATCATTGTTTTTGTTATTATTGTTGTTAGTAGTAACCCTTCTGTTTTCAAAAAGAATAAATAATTTCCGTTGTTATGACATCATCTTTAATTTCATATTTTTTTTTACATTAAGAGAAATGAAATAGAGAATAATGGGATTAGAAAGTTAAAATGAAAATGAATTTAGTAGTTAAGTGAGGATAGAACAAGATCAGTAGAATATGATCTCAGACAACTTGGTGATCTTGTTTTCTTTTTGTTTGTAATCAGAATGTAGGTGTTTGGGTAATACTTTCAACAAAGGTGTTTTATGTTGTACAAAATCCTTTTATCGGATTGAAAATAAGCCGTTGGAAACTCCGGGTCCAAAAATTTATGCTTGTTAGCAGTCACTATCTTGGTGTATGTGCAATCTTGAGGGAACTGATCTCCCTTTAGATATTAAAAATTGAGTCCTTCACTGTTGTAGTTAGAAACATTAAAGTGTTGACTTGGGCTGTAAAAATATTTTTAATTTTGGCAAGATTCTTAATGCTTTATGAAATCGGTAATATAATTGCTACATTTGAGCATTGTGGAATAGTGTAATTTCAAAGTGATTCGTCTATATGTTATAGCGCACACTGATAAAATGGTGTTCACTTGAAGGCGTCTTCAGCCCGAGTTATCTGTCATAACCAATATGAAAGTCAACTCATAGCATCCAGTGTTGACTATTCAGAATGATACTTACAATGTTGATTTTAAATAAAATTAATTCCACATGGCGGAACTGGTAAAACTGTGATTTGTGTTCAATGTCTACTGTATTAGGGCAGCATGTTGACCGGTTCATTAAACTCGAATATAAGAGTCACAGTTACATACCCATACATCTACAACTTCTACAGCTTAATTAAATATTAAGCAAAAGAAATTGAATTTCACGCATCTGAACTCCTTAAGTATACCTAATAAAACTAATTATGAGATCTCCAAAAAAAGGTTTTAATCTATGGCTGCGAAGTTCATATGGAAAAATTGGTTTTATCTCTGATTATTCTAACTGACGGCTTTGACTGTCTCATATGATGGTCATCAGTAGGCAAACAGAGATCATGATTCCAATGAGTATAGTTTTAACGAAATTCACTAGGAAGGAAGGCAGCTGTCTACAATTTATAGTACAATTTTCGTTCATGACAAGAAAAAACTTTTAAAATTGATATTTTCTAACATTCTTATACTTATTTTTAAGTATGGAAATGTGTATTAATAGTGATTTTTCGTCTAACTGAGGTAAATCTTACAAACATTTAGAATAAGCCTCAAAATCAGTATTATTTCTTGAAATTTCAGTTCATTTCTGTAAACATTGATATAGGATATGAAAAGGTCAATAGGACCCATTTAGTTAACTATGCAATTAGAGTGGGATATATCAGTTCAGTATTAATTTTTTTCCCATAGACCACACAGTGCAACTTGATCATTTACTGGCTGACATTTTGTACACAATTTATCGTTCATTGTTACACTGAACTGAGTTTCCAAGTTCTAGGGTTTCATCTCATATGATAATGAGAAATAAGTTGTTCGAAATATCATCCAGGATGATTTCAGTATAGATTTCGTTCTGAACCAACATCACTTATAGATCACTGGAAAACTAGGAGCACTAGACACATGTTTTGTCCTAGTCTGGGACTCTTCATCAGTGCGTACCCACGATCCCACCAAGGATAGAATCCAGGACCCTCAGCTCAAGAGATCAATCTCATTGACCATTCAGCCATTTGAGCAGGTGTCCAGTGACCCATGGATTGATATACTTTTTTAAAACTGTTATGATCACCGTGATACATTATTTTAACAAACAGGTTTCCGTTAAAAATTGTAGTTAGGTTTGAAGATTTATTCCTGCATTTTAATTTTGATTACTCATGCAAAGCTGAATCATTGACAAAAAGAACAGAACATAAATAATTGTGACAATAAATGATCACCTATTTTGTACAAGTTGAAACAAACGCAATTTAAGGATACTGTTCAAATGCAATTCTGCTTCAGCTGATCTGGATTTAAGTACATAACCTTTCGATAGATTATGGTTTTATTATTCTGAACAAATTAATATTATGTGTAAAATATAAGCCGTTAAATATTATGACTGATTGAAAAGAACACCATTTAAATAATTGTTGCATGGTAGTGTGTATGGATTCAAAATTCAAACATCAGCTCTGACCACAGGCAGTAATTTTTGTCGAAATATTATTAAAATGAAAACCTGACATTATGTGTAAACACGCATTGAAATGAATTTTTTCTATAGTTTCATTCATTTCTTTGTATGCCCACTTTTCTATGAACACCTTAAGTGTGTGTTTCGTGAGGGACATAATAATTTTACAAATGAACTAAATGCTTTGTTAGTCTAACAATAGCAAGATCTTTTTTGAAAGGATATTATGAGGTTACTTACCATAATGAAGCTGATCAGTTCGGTCAAATATATAATAAAAAATATATATATCGCCTAGTTAACTAGCTTGCTAGTTTTCTAGCCGGTCCCAAGCCGGGTAAAGAGGGAGGGTTCGGCGTAGGGCTAGCAACTCTACACCACAGAAGCTAGTAAACTGTTAGAGAAACTTCAACAAACAAAAAAATGTATTAAAAAGGGGAAGCAGAGGCATGAAAAATAATATTACACCTAGGATCTTCAGGCTAGCTCGTAGATCATCCAGCAACTCGGATGCGATCCAATGACCTATGAATTCTAACTTCGACCAATTCTCGATTTTAGAGCAACCACCAGCCATGTCATCAGTGAATATTTGTCCTCATGCCCAACCTGGTGAACCTCAGTTGTCACGACTTCTCACTAGAACTTCAGACAACTTCGTCTTGTAGCCAGTCAGATTAATTTCCAGGAATTCCTTTATAGGTATTTGATTTGTTTCAAGTTTTCAATGGTTCTCTAGCTCCAATCAACCCGCCATCAGACTGGAAACAATTATTCTGTTGTCTGGTAGTGATTTGCAGTGAAATTGAAACTCTGCCTTACTTTTGCTATCGATATATGGATATTATGAGTGTCTAAACAACCTTTATTTTCGATGCAAAGTTTAAGAAATGTACCATAAAATGTGTCCAACCATTTCATCAGTATAGTTTTTAACTTGTCTACGAGCTGACGTAATAGATTTGGGAGAATAAGAAGACAGACAACACGATTAAAAATTAAATTCAAATTTATATAATCAAAATGTGAAACATTCATCACGTAACTAGTTAAAAATTGTCTTAAAGCACTGTGTTTGGGGAGACCCTGAGTGAGTTAATTTAAGTTTTTTTCCCGAGTCATGTTTAATGCAGATCTAAACAGATAGTCGTCCCTGATATGAATAGTCGAGTGATGAAAAATAGGGAGTTGAAATCATCTTGTTGATTACATTATTTTTCTGTGTACACTATATCTGTGCTATTCACACTTGTATGTACTTCTTCTCAATATATTTTTTAAAGGTATGAAGCCAATCGAATTAAAACAGATGAACGAATTACATATTTACAGGAGAAAGCACAACTTTATGAATTCTACGAAGAGCTGGAAGATGTGAGTGTCAAGTCAATATTTCAAAAATTGTTTGCATCAGTGAAATCATATTTGCTTGAACAAACCTTTGACTAACATCTAATAACAGAAAACAATTTTTTTCCCTATCCAACTGATGTACTCGTATTACGTATGAAGTCACATAGGTTAACTAAAAATGTTGTAATGCTTACTGAATACTGATTTCACCATCCGAAAATATCCTTGAGTCCGTTAGTATACTGTTCAGAACAGCAAGTGAAAGGTATATCATTACAATTTCACATGGTATTATTATAAGTACATCAAATCCTTTGAGTTGTTACCCCAGAACTAAACGTCAACAATGCTATAAATGGTTCCGATCAACCAATGAGGCTACATGTTCTGCCCTAGTCAAGTGACTCTGAAGAGTTTCGTCTAAAGATAACTTTGTAGAATGATACTGGATTTATAGAAAAGTACTTTCAGTAATGAGTGAGGCGATTTTATCAGTGTTCTCGGACCTGGTACAGATATTGATTAGTTTACCTACCAATTAAGATCTGCTGCTTTAATCTAATCATTCGGAAGTAAACCACATACTTTACAATGTGATTTCAATCACAATTAACGCCGTTTGATGTTAGCCATATGGCAGTAACTGTGTATTACTTCGGGTTTATAAATGTTACCTGAATTTTGAGCAACTAGTCATTGTTGTCCCGGTAACGTGTTTTCTGTCGCAACATATTTCAAAAGGCTGACAAAATAATTCCTGTTAAAACACTAATAATTACTCTATTCGACAGATGATCACTTATTGTGACGACTTGAATAGCATTTATCAGCCAGCTTTTATGTTCAACTTTCACCATGCCTACCATACAATTGATTGATTCTACCCACCACATATAGCATATCTGAATATTGGTGTTTGCCACTGTATGAGTTGGAAAAGATACATCAAAGTTTTCGATGAAAGGTTTGAAGATATTTTAACAGGGCCCACTGAATACTTTCGACATTCGCCTTAGCAGTGCACTAAATTTAATAATGCAATAAGAGCTCAGTATTCTCATGGTGTGTGACTTGCTGTCAAGTCTTAATACGTTATTTTATCTAGAAACCTAAATTGTTTAGATTGTAATGTGTGACCAGCTTCACATCTTCACTTCGGATACACAGTTAATAAGCGTGAGAGCGGAGAAACTGTTTAGTGTTTCAATCACCTAAATCTAGCCGATGAGAGCTAGTGGTTGACGTAAATGACCTTCAGTAATTCATATGAATGAACAAACTGCACCACGCTGTATATGTATATTAGTTTGTTTATTAGGTAATTTATCATGCAGTGAACAAATTTACATATTGTACGATGTGCTGAAGACAATTCACTGTTTATAACGGTGTATGACTGCAAAATTTCACAACCTATTCCTTAGAATTCTAGTTATTCGTCTTAGTTTGTTAAGTAGGTGGAACAATTTCGTAGATACTCGAGGAGTCCGATGTAACATTATTGGTGTACACACTTTTAATTGATGCAATGACACGATTAATAATTAAAACTACTACTTTTGCCTACGTGTCTAACTACCCGCCTGCCTGCGTTATCGTTTTGAATTTCGCTCCTTTCTGAAATAAAAGAGAAGAATTGTAGGTCAGATATATGATTTTGGAGTTGGTTGTGTTCTCTACAATGTGATTAATCCAGTGAACTTTGTTTCACATATTTCGAAAAATATTTCTGTATTTACTGTTGTTAAAGGACTTGAAAGAAAATAAATAAACAAACAAACTTGTTTGCACTTCACTGAACAAAAGTGTTATCTGTTATGAAAATGAATTCATACTTAGCTTATTGTTTGCATTGAACATTATTCTTTTCTTACGACATGTAAATAATTCGCTACCATGGCAACTGATTGGTCTTGATAATTTACCCTTTGTACACAAGTGTTCCTAATTGTTGTATATTTTTTTCGGAGAAAACACTTGAGCTGATGAACCGGACAGTTTTTAGCAATATACTACAAATATGATTTTCATGAATCCAGTCCAGTTTAGCTGGATTGCTGCAATTTACAACTGTTGGACGTAGAAAAGTGTAAAAAAGTTAATTAGAATTTCTGACATGCTCATGAAGGTAAAGTTGTCATAAAAAGAGATACTTGGTTATCAGATGGTATACATTTGTGGTTAAATGGAGAAAATATTTCTTAAGGCGGCATTTTATTTTTTATATTTTTTAGACCAGTCGGATACTGGTAAACTTTGTCCTCGAAAAATGTATTGGTAATGTAAGGTGTAACCTAGAGGAGATGACTGATTGGAAGTTAGAAAAGAGGCAGAATTTGGCATGACGTAATAAGTGTGAGATAATGACTAATCAATAAGCCCGTGTAGAATGGATAGGAAATAGTGGAAAAAGGATGAAGTGTTTTGATATAAAATCTGTATGAAAAAGCAATGTTATTAATAAACAGTAATAGAGTGGTAATGAAATATGGATGATGGGAATAATAATGGTGATAAAATAATAGTACTAATAACAATAATAATGAACTTACATAATAAAAAAGAGAGGAAGCAAAATGATAATAAGAACTCTACTCTGGCCACGGTACGGGGAGAGAATGTATGTATTGCTTTTGAATTCAGAGGTCCGAGTTCAGATCTCGAATAGCTGATGCTTCAGTTATGTACAGATGGCGTATGCGAAGTCCCTTTGTACGATACTGAAGGACTCTGTGTAGCACTGTGAAGCATTCATATGGGGGTGCTTGATGTCCGGAAATGACAAGGTGTTCGAGAATAGAGCTGCTGCTATTTTTTTTATTTTTTTAAAATTTTTATATTTGTTTTTACTCCTTTACGTTCCCAATGGAACATAGGGCTTCAAGCTAGAGCTTTGAAGTTTCGGTAGCAGTCGTGTGTTTAATTTTAAGAAGTGGAGTTGCTAGCCTCATGCTCAACATTCCCTTGTTATTGGCCTTGCTATCGGCTCAACCAGGTTTAGCAGTACGTCAGCCGAGGATCAAATCTTGGACCACATGCAGGGTTGGCGAGGTTTCTACCGCTGAACCATTGACGCACACCTAAGCCAACATTCTGTTCTCATAATTCTTAGTCCACTGTGTGAATTATTCCAATTCTCCTTCCCTCAGTTTTTTGACGATTGACATAAGTGACGTTTATTGAAAAATTTCCATGATGCTAAGAATGACATGAAATATGAAATACTGAAGTAATCTACAACGAGAAACTTACGGAATCCTTCGAAGTGAGGACAGGAGTAAGACAAGGCTGCCTACTATCACCAATGATTTTCCTGATTGCAGTAGATTGGATAATGCGACAAACAGTGGGCAATGAGGAAACAGGCATAAAATGGACTCACACAAAAACTTGGAGGATCTGGACTTCGCTGATGATATATGTCTGATTTCCCACAAACTGGAAGATATGTAAGCGAAAAGCAACAAGTTGGCAGAAGAAGCATCCAGAGAAGATACGCCTTCAGGTGAACATAGAGAAAACAGAGGTGATGAAGATTCCTGGCCAAACACCAACAGCAACAACAACAGACAACAATCAGCATAAATGGAAGGAACCTGAAAGAAACAACCTCCTTTACCTACTTGGAAAGCATCGTTTCAACTACAGGCCGGCGGAATTGACGAGGATATCAAAGCAAGAATCGGAAAAGCAAGACAAGCTTTCACTACTCTCAAGTCTGTGTGGAGGTCAACAGCACTCAGCATCAGAAATAAGATCCGGATTTTCAACTCCAATGTGAAGTCAGTGCTAATATACGGATCAAAGACTTGGCGCGTCATAAAGAGCATCTCAAACAAACTACAGACCTTCATTAACAGTTGTCTTCGCTCAATACTCAATATCAGATGGCCGACCAGGAAAGATCAGCAACAGGGATCTCTGGGAGCGAACCAACACAACAGGAACCGATTGTGAAACAAATAGGCAGGAAGAAATGGAGATGGATTGGCCATACTCTGAGGAAACCATCAAGTGACATCACTAGACAAGCCCTTGAGTGGAACCCGAAAGGGAAGCGGCGAGTTGGTCGTCAGTGCAAGGGTGACTTGGAGGAGGTCATGTGAAGAGGAGATGAAAACGTGTGGGCAGACTTGGAGCCAGGTGAAAACTCTAGCAGAGAACCGAACGCAATGGAGACGCACGGCTGAAGCCCTATGTTCCTCTAGGAATTAAAGGAAATAATGATAATAATAATAATAATGAAATACTGTGACTAATAAGCTTTGGGAATGCAGTTCTGTCAACTGACTTTTAATAAATATTGTTTTAACTCTTACTGTTCAATAAATTTTTCGTTGTACACTTGCATTGAATAATTCAAGTTTAATTTCAAGAACTAATTCATCCAGACGAGTTAAATTGACATGGTAGGCTTCACGGTGTATATAAAAGATAGATAAATTGATATCTAGTTTTTCAGTTATTATTACCATTTGTTAATTTACTGATACACCACACAGTTCGTAGAGTGAAAACATTTCTTGGGTGAACTGTAAATTGTAGGAGTTCATAGATATCTTTAGCTAACCGTATTCTCAAATAAGTGATTTTATTTGTGATATGGTGGCATTTATATGAATATGATGCAACACCCTAATTGAATTTTTACTTGATCTCCCTCTGTGTCTAATGTTCTCTCCTTCTTATTTTACAGTTTGAAGACTGGATTTCAGATAAAACAAACAGTCTATTGGAAATTCAACTGGCGATAAAGCAAAGAGCTCACTTATCCTTCAGTCGTATACAGGCATTTGAAGAGGAAATTGAAGTGAATCGAAATCGTGGAGATCATTTTATTGAGGTTAGTCAGTTTGAGTAAACATGATTTGCAGTGTTCCTTTACTTAATACTAACGTCCATTTCAGGTTATAACTTTTACTCAATATGTAGGTCTTTAAATCATTATCACATGAATAGTTACTTCTCATTCAACTGCCTGTAGAAATATGCAAATTTTCAGTCAACACATTTATCCTATAACTATAAGATTTTGTGGAGACGATACATTATTGAATTTTGGCAAAGTTTTCTGTACAATTTGACAAATTCAGACTTATATGAACTTCTGTGGGTCAGTGGTTCAAAGATGGAATGCTCGGTGGCCACGAGGGAGGTTCGGATTCGATTCTCAGTAGATGCACTCCTAGTCAAGATTACTAGCCGGTAGCAAATTCAAAATAGATGGAAGGTTCAGGGTGAGGCTGGTGACTTCAGCTCGTAAATCAATCGACGTCATCGCCACTGAAACTTCAAAGCTTGAAGCTGTATGTTCCACCCAGAACACAAAGGAGTTAAGGGAATCATCAATTAATCTTAAGATTCGCTTTTAAAATGTCTTTTCTACCAGGACACTCCACAGCAATACAAAGCAGCGTGTTATTTCTTTCATTCTGTCAGTAAATTTGCAATTTATTCCAAATGAAAACACAATAATCATTTGAATTATGTTTTGACACATATTACAGGATATGCATGTGCCTATAGGGAATGAAATATTTGTACAGCTGTACATATTTTCATGTTCTTTCAGAGTGAGCTATTACGATCTATGTCAAGAAGCTTTTGCCAGAAGCTGTTGTGAATATAATTGTCACATTCGGTTTAAATTAGCCTATATAAGGAATGCCACGCCAAGGCGGGGCAGTAATTTTATTATTTTATGTTAGGCGTTTTAATTTACAGAAGTGAAATTAGAGCGATATGATTCAGTGTCAGCTGATGAGTTCTAATGCCTCTGAAAATTTCTCATATCTAGATGAATCTTGTCGCCATCACAAGTACAAAACAGACTGAATGAATGGTTGGTGTGTCCTTGCGTAGTGATTATACTTTTAGTCTTTCATTGATATTTTTCTGATTGTTTCTCATCTAAGTGAACTTTTGTTAAGCTTTATGTGATAAGTCAATCAATGTGTATCTTTATACGTTTACCCATTAGGTTATAAGTCTTTATTCAAACTATAGACATTTCAAGCTTTTGACATTATCAGTCGAGACAGGATGTGTTATAAAAGCTTCCTACTGTTTACTTCCAAACAACCAGCATTTCTTCCAAAGGTACCGTGATGATAAGTCTTACCTGGTTAGATGACCACATTAAAAGCTTTGTCGGTAGAATCCAACCAGTACTAACAATGAGGACTGAATACATGACACTGGTTACGCCCTAGTGATCCATCATTGGATAAAAACGTCCGTTCGTAAATATTTCCCATGCATTGAGAGTAAAATATTAGAAATATAATTTCAAAAAATCTTCCACATTTGGATGCACAACACACATTCTAATTGGCCTTAATGACATATTGTGTGTAACGCTCTGAAATCCCTTAATTAAGAAGTTTTATGCATTCCGGTTTCTTATGCCGTCAAGTATTTCACTTTGATAAAAAATTGGAAAAAATAGAACTTGGTTAATCACCCTTTAGATTAGAGTACTGTTTATATTTCAATCATAAATGTACCTGCTATAATCTCAAATTGACTGCACATTCATAAAACGCTTACATTGACAAGCAAATAATCATTTTATTTCGCATTCAAGTTCAATGAGTTTTCAAGATGAATGACACGGGCCACAGAGTAGTTTCTTTTTGATTTTAGCTTGATTCCACACCATGCTTTTGGTACAAGTATGGAATTTTCAGCATATGATATCGATAGCCCAATTTCACAGGCCGACCATAGATATCAGGCGTGCGTCGACAGGAGATCGAACCCCAGACCACATGCATGGTCAGCTAGCGTCCTAACCGCTGTGCCACAGACGCACAGTGCTACCTGACTGACACTGAAAAGTGTTACATTCTAAATTGCTCAAGTACAACACTTTAGGAGACCATTTCGTGTTTTATTTCCATGCATCGTTTTTACTAAAGGCTTCATTGATAAAATATGAGACAGTTTACTTAAAGTGAAGCAATTTGTTTGTAACAATTGATGCTGCGTAATGTCTGCTCACAGTGCGACTTAATACTCGAATTACGAGTCTATCCTTTGCTGGATTAATGAACTACGAAATTTATCAGAGAATGTCATGTGTTTATTTTACTAGTGCTTGAATGTATCACACTTTCAAATCTCTATTTATGCTGCATGGTAATAATTATTCATGGAACTACTCACTCAGTGTTGCAGACATACTTTGGAGAAGAGTAACACGCGACACCAAGCTTACGTTTACGTAATTTCTGCTCACCAACACCTCTCAACACATAACAGTTAATGAATTGGTTAGTGTCGGGTTTTGTTTATCCGTAATCCATTTCGTCAATTATCCACGTATTAGCAGGCTACCCTGATGCACTTTTGTTTATTTATATCTACTACGACCACAGAATTGTTTTTTCTCCGAAACATTTATCCTTTTCAAATTTCACGCAGACGTCTTTGTGTGTGATATGGAGAGACAACTGCTTCTTTACCAATAGCATTCGACTTCGATGAGGCACTGATGACTTTTCGTGAAGAACTCTTAGGATCTTTACTGTGTGTGTGTGTGTGTGTGTGACTAATATTCGTGTGATATCTTCCTAGAATCATATTGTAGTCGCACCGATAATATTCACTCATTCCGTTCAGATTTATATTGAGTGGGTGAAAGTGCTGAGAGATGTGTGACGCTGATAAGAAACTTAATTTATAACAATCTTGTGGTAGCCACCAAAGTCAAAATACGAGCCGTCATATAAGATTGGCATAATGAGTCGTGCAAAATACTGTAACCTGTTAAGTCAGAAGTTGAATAGTAACGATTTTCGACGATATTTATAACCTTCGTGTGTATGATAGACAAAGTAATTTCCTATGATAGTTGTGTGTATAACACAAATGAAGGATATAAGAGTGAAAGAAGGCATTTAGTACGCACGGGATCGCCAGTCATTTAGCTAGCAATTTTTAAAATGTCTCAGACTTAACAGCACATCAAATATTTCATGATCGAGAGGTCGACGGGGTTTTCATAGAACCCACTTTCTGGTCAGTAGTTGATCGATGCTATACAAATGATGGATGTTGTAATCGGTTGTCGGTGACACAATCACTGTTCATTCTATGTGAAGTGTCAACTTTTCACTGATATTCAGTAGTAGTGTGATGATCGAAAGCTGTGTCACTCATAAAGGGCTTGCATCTATATATCCTTTGTCCTTATTACGATACAACGGTGAACTTAGTTACCTCTCAGTGTAATGTAGGGTTTAAGTGCTAGTTACCTTTACAGAGTGCTGTGATAGTACCAAGAAAGTGTGATAACATCTTTTCTTAGCGTCATACTAGTTTATGTGACAACGGGACTGACTAAAATTACTCACCATTACACCATGACTCCATACGTAAGATTCATCAAATAGGGTTGTGATCAGAAGTATCCGAGATGTGGTCACGCTGTAACTTAATTTTCTCCTTCGCCTAAAAGTGTGAGTAGACTGCCTTATTCGGCTTCCTACTGCTTTCAGCGTCAAAGTCACATTTGATGCTTTTTATCTCCAAACAATTTAATGCATTCTTAATTTTATCTTGGTTTACATGTCTCCATTTCCACTAGTTTATTTTATTGAAGATGTGTGTCGGTGGCATAGTGGTTAGGACTCTCGCCGACCATGCACATGGTCCGGGGTTCGATCCCCTGCCGACGTACACCCGATATCTATGGTCGGCCTGCAAAATTTGAGCTACCGATATCCATGCTAACAATTCCGTACTTGTACTGAAAATACGGTTTGGCATCAAGCTGTAATCAAAAATATAAAAAAAATATAAATATAAAATAATTATAACTGCAACTGTTGTTAAGAGTTGCTGAGATTTCGGATATTCAGTTAGTTGCAAAGTGGTATAATTCAGCAACTGCGGTTAACTAGAAGATGACTGACTGCAAATCAAGAAACACTCTGTGATTGTTTTATCTTGGATGACAATATTCCAGTTCTGAATGAAGTTTGCCTTGAAGTTAAAGGTATTAGTTGGAGGTTGTTTCTCTCAATTAATCAATAAAACTGTTATTTTAAACAATCCTGATCATTTTTTATCTCTTATATGATTCCACAATCAGTTGAATTATTGTTATCCTGTGGTTGGGAACTTACTTTATGTTGAGTTTCTGATTTCTGAAAAGAAAAAGAAATCGCAAATGCTGAGTGAGGAGTGTCCGACTATTAAACTTTCACCGCCTGACAGAAATTATTGCAATTCTGTAACAACCCATCAGAATCATTCTGACAGAATAAATATTTGTACAACAACAGACCTTTCTCTGACATGTTAACTTGTATGATTTGTTATTTTTGTTATGGTTCGAGATACTTCTTGAAATCATCCGAAAGCGGGAAACTATTTACACTTTTGAATACACTTAATACAACCTGATCAATGATACCCACACAAACACGGAAAACGAAGCTACAGTAAGTTATCTACTCTCTAATAGGGATATGTAGGCTACTTGCTGAAGTAGGAGACAGAAAAGGCAGATCACCCTTGTAAAAGACATTTTTAACTGTTTACGAATACAGTACTTTCACACCATAACATGTATGTGAATGATCTGTTACTGTTTGTCAACTCCTAGTTTCTACTTGACTTGTTCATAGAAGCATTGACAAACTAATTATTCCTGTGTAGTAAGAATCTTTTATGTGATTTTATTATCTATAACAGTTACATTCGCAAGCGCCACTTCGTTATTTCTTAACTATTTTGACATACTTTTCTCTGTTTAAGGTTGGTCAGAAGCTTATTGAAGTTTATCCAGATTTGGAATATGATGTGAAAAGACATCTAGATCGTCTACATACACGTTGGGAGGAACTAGTTGAATTAGTTCGACATATTTCAAATGTAATTGGTCAAGATAATAAAGGTAAGTGAAGAATTTTAATGGAATTTATTGGAAGCAAACAACATATTTTAAATGCAACACCACGGATTCAAAGACGCCTAAAGAATTGGTCAAGATTATTAGAAAAGATAAACTGTATTTTCTACGGTCGAGATTCCACGTTCTTCGAAGACCAACAAAATATTAATTTCAAAGCAGATCTAATCATGAATCCACTAGAAATCATAGAGCCATGAGCAACTATTTTGTCTGTTTGATATTTTTCGGTACTGCTCACCTCCCACTTCCTCAAGGGTTGAATCAACAACGACCAGGTTGCTCGATGAGTAAGATGACCGCTAAGTCACCAAGTTGGAATTCACTGACCCACGGATTCCAAATTTTGTCAGTTTATATGATACAGCATCACTGCCATTTCTGATGGAAAGCAGGCCTTACCTGGATTTCAATGATTCACATATGTAGCTGAACCAATGAGATGTGTATATTATATGGGTATACATATTCAGATTTGTTTACACATACATTTTATTGTAGGATAGGTTTGTTTAGAATGAATCTACCAATGTCAATCTACCAGAAATTAGACTGCGAATCTGACTTTGTTCACTATGTTTCATCACGAATAAACATTTGACATAAACACCATTTTTTAGTTCATACGACTTCGAACAAATTATTCACGTTAATAAGTTGGAAGAACCTGCTTTATACTTTATATATGTCCATACCAAGTTCACTTTTAACAGTTTGAAAAAATTTGGGCATTGGGTATATGATATTCATTATAATACAGGTTTTTGTATTTCCCAATGAATGAAATACAAAACGATATTGTTTTTACTGACGTTTCGCTATTTAATGCTAATAGCTTTATCAAAGTATTATTAAACCAGAATTTACAAAATCTCAGCATATATATAACAAAGAGTTAAGAGGTGAGAAAATAGAATTAGGTCAAGTTAAAAGGACATACTGAAAGTCAGAATAACAATGAAGATCACTAAACCAAATAACAAAGGTAATAGTACATCTGTTATGGTATCAAAACAAAGTTTTCTAACTTGATCATCGTTCGTTAGTCTGGGGTCATTTTTCGTCGTCAAGTTGGCCAATTGGTAAAGATAAAAAAACCAAGTGTAGATTGTTGGATTTGATAAATGTGTAAATTTATAAAACAGCGTGTGTTTATATAATGATATTGCTTATCACATTCGTATTGATTTTGTCACTTCATGGAGGAGGGTGTGTTGTAACCAGGTCAGATTCTGTTTTAGTCCATCATTCCTATTCAGACAATTTGGATTCCACTTGATATGAAGTGCTTCTGATATTAGACGTTCTTTGTGATTTCTGAAGTTTTTCTGGATTATTTCAATATTGTCAAAATCATTTTTGTGATCTGATTCTATAGCATGTAGACCTATGGCTGATGATTTTTGAAGCTTTTCTAGTTCAACCGGATTTCTCAGTGGTCGAAGACACATGTAGATCCAAAGACCTATGGAAGGGTTTCATTTGAAATATAATGACATCGATTCGACAACAGCATTATATTAATAGAAAAAAGCACGGTGGTATAGTATTATTTGTTTATCGGTGATATTGTGAGAGTGTAATTTATTGCTGATACGAGTCCGAATTTAAATAGTTTATCAAAATACTGAGTTACTGGAAATTCTTTACCAAAGTCCGTCGAGATTTTTGTACTACCGTGCTACTGTGCTGTCAGCAGATTCGTCTGAATATCAATCATCGATTGACTCATTCGGGTTCACTTATGTGTATTTGCAACTTCAGTTGCTTCACTCAGCTTGGTACATTGTCTTTCAAATGTTGGGGGAATGTTGCCCAGTAGTGTATAAAGGTCTGTTTCCTGCTTCACTGTGGAACCATTCTTAGACACTAAACATCAGTTACGTCTTAATATGTCTTCGCGAGTTCTACAAAGTTCGATCAAAATGTTTGTTCTATAAACCTAAGTGCTGTCGACCTGTTTACTGTACTCTTGGCAGAATTAGCTAACATATCTTTAAATTCAGATGATACAGTCATTCATATTATTTAGCTGTTCTTTATGTGCACATACATATACATTGACTACTCAAGGTGATACCTTGATATGATTATGAGCAATAAATTTTGCTCGAAACGCCATCCGTAAACATTACTGTATAACACTGTGAGACTTTATCAAAACAAAATTTACCCATAATGGAACTCAAATGTGGAGTTTTAATTTTTCATTACTCGTTATTCTGGCTTAATTGACTGCAGGATAATGAATATGTATCAAATTTGTTCTATTTATTTTATCATTTTCCAGAAAAGTCGATGAAAGAGGCTATTCAAAAAACTGCTGTTTGGCTGAATGAAACGAATGCGCACTTACAGAAAGCAGATGACAAGTTACCACCACCTGATGAACTTGATATGACCACATTGCAAACACAAATAAAGGAGTTTGAAAAACGACTTAAAGATTATGCAGACAGGATCAGTGTTATAAATATTTTAAAGGTAAAAAGGGAAATCTTAAGAAGTATTCGACTCGATTCAGCTATTAATGTCGCCCAATAGCGTTTCGCTATGTCTTTTGATTCTGTCTCAATATTTAGTGCCTATCACTGTGTTATTGATATAAGTGTAAAAGTTGGTTTCATCTGGCAGTAAACTTTGATGTTCTCATCTGTAGTATATAACTGTCTGGCTAAATCTGACTCTAGTGACATTATACCAGTTTTAGAAACTTGCAGTCTAAGTACGTATGTCATAGGTTAATTCATGATGGTTAATTTTTTCAGGAGATTTATTTGAACATGTAAGTGAAGACTGCTTAAATAAGGTGAGGAATATTAACCTTCCGATAGAGAGCCACCCTTTATTAAAGTCTAGTACACTGGATACCGAGAAAGCATTTATGTTTTGTATTTTTGGGCGTATTTTCCTGTTGAAAGTGAATACGTCCGGTTTAAATGTTGCCATCTAGTAATTATGAGGCCACAAATTTGTAAAAGTGTGCATCAAATGTTTTAAAGCGAAATACCTCTGCATATGAAGAGCTGTATAATCGGATTAAGGGACGTTTTCCTGGCAACAGGTTTGATGTATTGATGAGTGACAATACGATATGTTTTACTCACGTAATCGACTACTCAGTTTGGTGATTACAATCTAGAAGTATGAATGCACGGCCTATAAAACAAACCTAATGTTCTAATGGTCTTAGTCTAGTTGAAAGTTAGGCAAAGACGAAGGTAATTTAAATCCGAATGTAATCAAGGATTATGCGGATGGCTGTGAAGCATAAAACGTCTTGTGATCTGGTCTTTCAATATCGTCTTTTAAAATACCCTAAGCAAAGTTCTTCTATGAGTGTCGTCATTGAGGCTGGTCAACGGTATTCGAAGCTTAACTTTTCCACTTTCTAATTTCTTATTAATGAATAAAGCACCCAGGCAAGTGGATTTCTCGGGCATATTGTCCAATAAACAATGAATGTTCATACAGCATTCTCTCTACAAATGCTTCATCTTGGAGTTGTACAGTGAAAATCTTAAAAATAAGATCGTATTAGCCGTGATGACCGAAACCGGCTTGCTGTGGTCTGAACATAGGAAACCGATCTTTGCCTTTTGCTGTATAGCTGACCAAAACTTCCATGAGCTACTTACCAATAATCACAAATGTCCCATCAACGGCGGAAAGAGAGTTATTGCAATAAAATCTACGTTATTATTTAACAAAAATGACATATCCTGAAGGAAAATTACCTCAACAATGCTGTCAGGCATCTATACACATCGAATTCCCTCTCAGTTATAAATTAAGTACTGTACAACAAAGTTATCTAGCCAAGTCAGCCGCGAGGAGTAACTGAGGACTCAGCAGAATATTCCCAGTGGTGTGGGATAAAAACTCCATCAGCAAGAATCACACAATAAACGATTCCGATCGACAGTCCGAGGTCGTAATGCTCTTGACTCACTCAAACACAGCAGCAGTCGTAAGGCAACACACCATTATTATCATGCCACAACCACAAGGAGAAGCAGTAAAATTGAAGTTTGAATAAGAACAAAGACGAATAATATGGACTGAGTCAGTAGGTGATACGCACACGTTAGAACACTTATATTTAACGTGGGAGAAAAGAGGCAAATAATCAAAAGTTTGTTGAAACATCCAAATAAATATCAATTTTGTAACTGTACCGTTCAGGAGATATTTTCCAAACAATTATTCCGTTAGAGCAGCAGTCACTGCTACTATGCATTTCTTCAGTATTATTAAGCTCATCCAATAAATATGTAGAGGGAAATGCACATGGATTGGACATACGCCGAGATGTTCAAGTAACATCACAGGACAGATACTAGAGTGGAACTAAAATTGGAAGTGACTATGTGGGATTCCAAGGGTGACATGAAGGAGAATGTGTGTGCAGGAAAGGAAACCTGCGAGCAGCCGTAGAGTGATAGCAGAAAACTGGGTGAAACGAAGATGGCCTGTTGAAGTCCAATATTCTATTCGGTAAACAAGGTAGAAATAATTTTAATGATTTTTAAATGTATACTAGAATTCATGCATTCACAACTAATAAAATATCATTCATATTTTACTCTGCTTCAATGTCTTTTAGAATCAAGCTAGTGCACCTGACTTCAGTCAAAGAGAGGAGTTTTCTGCAATTATCAGTGATCTTGAGCGTAGATTAGCAGCATTAAATGAACCACTGAATGAAAAATTAATGAATTTACAACTTCTGCAAACATCAACTAAAGGTATGGTAGAATTAACCTTAGAAGGTGCATGGGTCAGAGAGAAGTTGTCACAAATTGAAAACTTATCGAAAGCTTTGGAACTTGATCCATTAAAAGCATATCAAATTGGTCAGAGACTAATGGTAATACACTGTTCGCAAAGACAGCTAAAAAGTCATATACTCGAAGCCAACAATCGCAGACCTAGAGTAAAAGCTTTATGCAAAGTAAGTCGACTTTTCTATTCCCATTTGGAATGCTCTAATTTAATTTAATTTAAAAATTAATTCCTATCGATACTTTTCGTAGGTTTGAAGAACCCGAACCAAAACAGTTTAATTTTCTACGCTGCACGTTCACTGATGAAGCGTTTTAAGGGCTATTACTGCTAAAAACTCATAGAAGTATGAATAAGAGGATACAATGGCTCCACAACACATTACTCAGCGCGTTAGTTTCATCAGTCAAACGCTGTTATAACAGAAGTCAACCTTACCAAAGATAATTTTATTATCAATACTAACAGATATTTCTCAGTGTCAGACTAATGACAGACTCAATAGAATTCGTTACAAGTATTAGTCGTTAGGCGAATATGCGCATTCTCGGAGACATTATATTTTCCAGTAAATGCACCAAGTTCAATCAGTGAGTGAAGCAATTCCAAACGTCTGTAATCATTAGGTTGATTATAAAACATTGCAGATTATTCCATTGAAATACAATAATAGATTTATCAACCATTGCTTCAAGAAAACGTTTCGGTAAAGAACTTTTAAATATAATTAGGGCCTCATTCTTTAGCAATATTTCTATTGTATTGTGTTTTGGGTGATATATAATTCACTGTTTATAAAATACCTACAAACTGAAGTCATAGCATGTCTGCTCTTTATTCTGCCATTTGAACCGTCTTCTTCAAAAGCTTTCTTTTATTTTAAATATGCATTACCACTATACTTACTAGCTTACACTTCGGTTGAATTTCGCAGATTGCAAGTCAGTGACATACTTTCATTTACGGTGGATGATAAAAAAGCTTTAGCTTGTTCAGTTGTCATAAAAAGTATTTATGGCTACAAAATAGCTTTAATTGTTTTCTTCTACCCAGTTTCGAATCAGCATCTTTTTCACCCACTTTTGGTTGTTATGCTGTCAGTTTAAATGTTTGGGTATGGTTCTTGCATTGTCAAAAAAACGTCTCAACATACTTTCACCTTTAAACTATTGACCCATATACATCTACATGTATAGTCATTCGATGATTGGAGGCAGTCATCAGGAAACCTTAGACTCGGGTTTAGTGCTTGCTGGCACTCGCGAGATGCTCCTTTCTGCAAGCTTGAAGGAACTCATCCCCTTTCTGGGACTCGAACTCCGGTCACCCAGTGCTACCTTTGGAGACTTTACCACTGAGATTTTAACCAGCTAACAACAGTTCATAGTACACAGAAGTATAGGTAATTAATTAGGTGAATGTTTGAAAAACAGACTCAATAACTGAATCGTAGATACTCAGCTTGTATCAGTCAGTACCTCAGAAGTATGCCACATGTGTTGGTGAATATCACTGGTATCTTATACAGACAACTTTTCAATATTTCATTTCTATCTGTCTTCTTCTCCTCCATTTTTAGAATATGGAAACTGAATTCTGTTTACAAGAGGAGAAAATTTCACCTGCTAGACAACAGCAACAGTGTAAGCATCTTATTGAAGATATCTTAGAATCATGGCAGAAGTTGGACAGAAATTTAACGCGCTTACTTGAACGTATTACAATGTCTGAGTCAGTCTATCAATTTTTATTTGATGCTAGTGAATTAGAGTCATGGATATCGGAAGAAGATTTCTACTTACATGGGGTCGAAATCCCTAAGGTTAGTTAAAAAGCCAATTACAGAGTTATACTGTTATATACTATAAATATTTAGTCTTCTTATATGTATTAATTTGAGTAAAACGTTTGAGCATTGTGGATTAGATCAGATAAAGTATAATTATATTTCAATAGTTTACACACAATGATAAGTTTTGTTATTGGTAATATTTCGAGCTAAATTACTGCCCGTGTTCACACCACTGTTGGAATTGTTTGATTCACACATTTATGATTTGTACTCATAAATATAGTTCATTATTTTTGCTCATTCATTTT